TTGACATCAGCACAGCAGGTAGGGATCTCCCCTACCACAGGTACGGTCCCCTCACATACAAATGAAAGTTGCAGGGCTATATGCAAGTCGAGTCAGCATCTCCGTTACTCTTGCAAACACTGCACCCTACAAGCCCACATCATGTCCTAGTCTCAGGAAGGCTCGCTTTTTTCCTGAATGTTTGCTTATTTATGCCTCCTCTGGGTGCACCAGACGTTGTCCTCTCACTTGGCTGAGCTGCCCTTTCCCAGTATTCCCTGAGAGTGGCTGATTGTCTCATTGGTGTGGAACAGTGTTTGTTTCCAGTGTTGCAAAACCAAAGCTGCTGTTGCCATTCTAAAGGCAAGAGAACTTATATTTAGGACTCAAAGTGACAAATTCCATTTTTGAAGGAAAAGAACAGGAAAAATACCTCTGACTTGCCTAAGATTATCCAGCACTGGGAGAAAAACCAAAACCAAACAAACAAAACTAGCAATTATATAATCAGTGAATTATCCTGAGAAACAAGGCCAAGACTGAGAAGCTTTACAGATAGACCTGTTGAGAGCACTGTATTAAGAGATTCTGAAGAGGTGGTAGATTATGCTAAGAAAAGTAGAAACTGGGACCCAGTTCAGCAACAAAACTCCAGCAAGCCAGGATTCACCGTACTTAATTGTTGTAGAGCAGTAAAAATTGTGGAAGTAAATTTTGATAGTGAGGCAGAGGAAAATACTCTAATAAAAAGGCTTTTGAGGAGAAGAGGAAGATCATTAAAATATTCCTTCATTTAAGAGCTTTTGTATTTCAGCTAAAGCCAGGTGATACCTAAAATCTCCCCTCTGAAGAAGGTTCTAGGAAAAGTGTTCTGCAGTGGTTTGACAGAACTTGTTCTCACTTGAACATCACCTAAGAAAGTCCCTGAATTTCACCTGTACATGCACTGGTAAAAAGGAAGTACAGCAATAGGTTCATGACATATTATTTTCAATACCTCTTATTGAATAATTTGAGAGAAGAGAAAATTATAATTATTTTTTCAACACCAAAGCATATTAAATGGCCAATTTAAGCTCATCAACCATAAACAAATGTAAGATACACATTATTTAATACATATTTATTGGTAGCACTGGCAGGGCAATATTCTACCAGCTGGGGACACAGAAGTGCACAAAAACATTTTAAAAAAACCCGTATTTAAGAAATATACAGGGCCAGCCGAGTGGCTCAGTTGGTTAAGAGCTCGCTCAAGAGATTGAGCTCTGAGCAACAGCGGTTCGAGTCCAGCCCGAGCTGAGCAGCCGCTGAGCTGCCAACAGGTAAAGAAATATATATTCTGTTGAGGGAAGGTGTTGGCAATGATTTCATGAGGTTCAATAGTGTAGTGGTGGTCAGTGAGAAGCAAGTATTTGCAAAGGGAAAAAAGAAGTAATTCTCAGTTAAGAATTTGATACAGTGAGAAAAGATTACAAGATAAAAATGTTATTGCTACAAACGTGATTTATAATTTGTGTACCTATACATAATTTAATAAAACTAAATATATTTAATCCATATTGGATAATTAATTTTAAGTCACTTCTAATAAGATTTTTAATGTCTTCAGATAGTAAGTTTTCCTGGTCATGTGATGATGGAGCAAACCAAGCCTGTTTATCTATTTTTGGTGTTGAGATTATAAAGCCAGAGAAAATTTCTAAATCATCACTACCTCCTATGAAATTATGTCTGAATAAACCTTGGTCATTTTGTAATACATTTCCTCTTCCATAATAAATTGAAACTTGTTAATAGATATCAAACCATAAAAATAAAATTATTATAAATTTAAAATTTAAATCATAAGTGCCCCAAAGGCTTTGTATCATAAAGCAGTTTATGCATTCATATATCCATAAAATATAAACTTTCTCCAAATATCTTACTACTTGTGTTGTCAATTCTGACTAAATTATGCTAAATGTGACCTATCTGTGTAAGAAGAGATATGGTTTAATGTATGATGTGACTAAGTTAGCATCTGCAAGTGATATTTAGTGATCTGTGGATACTTGAAATTAATTGTTTAATGAATTGGTTATCTGTTCTAAGTTACCATTCCTTTAGTTATTTAGCTTTACTATTTGTCCAGCAACTTGATGGTTTAAGAAAGTTTTATGCTCCTATAGAAAACACAGATGGTCAACCTGTTCTTCCCAGAGTGACCAATGCCAGGGGACATGCCCACCACCCTGTTTTATACCTTGCTCTTTAGTATTATTTATTCAACAAATACCCAGTGAGCACCTGATTCAATTCAAACTGTCATCCTTATTTTTGGTGGAATGACAAATGAAGCAAGTTCTAGAGTCTTAAAGAATTCGCAACAGTAGTAGATTTAGGAAAGTCAATAAATGTTAACTTTGGAATGTGGAAAATGTCTTTTGCAATTATAGAGGGGGTAAAGGCCAATATCATATAAGGGAACAAGAGAACTGTCACAGAAAAGCTAACACCTGACTTACAGCTCAAAGAATGTGTAGAGGCTCATTGGGAAGATATGGGTGAGGACAGGAAGCTGCAATGATTCAGGCTGAGAAAATAGCATAAAAAATAGAAAAGGTCTCTACAATTGAGAATGTAACAGGAATAAGAGAAGGAAAAAGGAAATGTAAGATAGAAGATTTCCAAGGGCCTTAATCATAACAATAAAGGGTTTGGAAATTTTATTCCCTATAGCTTCTGATATTGTGATGTACACAAATCAGTTTCTTAGTGAGCACCTTCTTTCATTTGTTAAAACTGAATCATTTCTTTTGAAATTTTAAGATCCCAGATTGAACTGAGCTTTTTTATTTTTCTTCAAGAGTTTACTGGGATGTTCTAATCTTTATTTTTTAATTTGTACTACTAATCACTCCTTTATTTCTGGTTTCATATTCATGATTCTCCATCAGTCTGTCACTTGACTCCCAAATGTGCTAATATTTCATACCTAGTTTTTTTTTTAATAATGTGTGTAGTAAGCATTACGTTCCTTATGAGCATATACACATTGCTTTATTTCAACTTCTTACATTTTTTTATTTTTGTCTGCACATGATCTTTCTTAGTAGACACCTTCATTCCAAAGGCTTTAAATATTGACAAGACTCCTTTTCTAACCAAAAGCTCAGTTGAGCTCTCTGCTCACGTAGGCCCTGACCCTTGGCCTGCTGAGGCCGGTTTTTGCAAAGATTCTGCTAAGTAAGCTTAGGAATCCCCTGTTCTTGATATCTGATCAAGCTTCTCATCCCCTAACTTTGATATCTAAGTTCATGGCCTGCCTTTAGCAAGAATCCTGTTAAGCCAGTTTAGCAAAAATCCACCAATCTTGAATCAATTACCTCCTGGTAATTTTCTGTCCCCTGTGCTCATAGGCTATAAATCCCCAGCTGTCTTTGCTGTATTCAGAGGCAAGCTTAATCTCTCTCCTTTATTGCAGTAGTCTCAAAATCTATCTTATCATTTTTAACAAGTGTCAGAATAATTTTTCTAGTACGGTTCCACCTCCATGTGAAAAGCTACAAAATTACTATCCTAGGCCTACATTATTTCATGCTTTCTTTGTGACATATATCATCTCAGCCAATCATCAGATGTCTCATCAAATACCCCTGGATCTCTCAAGTGGACTCTGTATTTGTTAGAAATATCATATTTTTCTTATTGTAGGCTTGGAATTTCAATATAATTTGGGGCATCACGATTTCACCACCCTCATCCCAGTTCAAAGTTATGTGTATCTTTTACTGTCCACATTTTCTGTATTCATTCAGGCTTTTCTTTCTGCCTGCTACCTCTCTAATTCAAGGTTTTGTCAATCTATATGTTGAAATGTTTTATTAGCCTACTGATTGGTCAGTCTTCTTTACTCTTTCTCTCTTTTAATTCTCATGTAAAATACTATCAATTTATTTTCCACAAAGCAAAACCTTAATTCTATTATACCTTATTCAAATACATCCATTGTTCCTAGTGCCTAAAAATGTATTTTCCAAAGGTGGTATACGAACTTCTGGTGATATCTAAAATAACAACATAGTTGATGAGCACATGTTTTAGACATATTATTATAATGTCATGTTAATTATATATTATAATTATTATAATAAATAATAAAATGCTATTTTCTATGCACATCATCACATTTTTTTATCTTAGTAATTCACCAATTTATTGCTTCTAGTAGTTGACAGTTTTTTAGTGTACAATCAGGAATTATAGTGGACTATGTGAGAACATGGATCTCTGATTCTGAACCCAAGTTCTGCAGTTTTCATCTCTATACCCTCTGCCAAATCATTTAATATCTTATACTTCGAATTTCTAATTTGTAAGATGAAAATAATAATAGAACCTATCTGTGATGGTTGTTATGAGGTATGATTGAGATAATGTGTGTAGGTTAGTACACTGCCTAGCAAAAATGTTTGGTTAACCCTAATGTGTTATTAGCATTGTTATTGTTATTGTTAATAAGAAACCATAATTTTGAATTAGAATTTGATTGTAATCTGTTTTTTCTTTTTCTCTTTCTTTCTGATGTGTTGAACCATCTTGAACCAGTGCTGAAAAAATAAGATTTTAAAATGCAAATGTTAAAAAGTGATGGAATGTAATTAATTCTGGCATATAGAGAAAGCATTTGCAACAGCATTGCTCATGAATTAAAGAGAAGTACTTAATAATGCTGCTATCATTGTCAATTATGTAGGACCAGGGCAATGAATTTTTGACTTTGCTTCAGCTTGAGGAAGAGATAAGTAGTCCTTACACACAAATTCTCTTTCATCATGAAACCTGTTGGCTCTCATACAGAAACACTCTCACTTGTCTATTAAGTTGTAGGAAGAACTTCAACTTTGAAAATGAAATATTCAACCTGTGATATAGTGCACATAATTAAGTCTGGTTTGAAAATTAGCACAAGTCTTTTGAACCCCCTGAATTTATTCTCACAAAACAAATTTGTGTCGGCTCTTCCTCGCTTCGCCATGGTGGAGCGGGGCGCCGCGGTGCCACTGCTGAGCTGGGCCGAGGACCCAGCGGTCTCCCCACCGCAGGCCCCGGAGCTGCAGGCTGGAGGCTGGGGCTGGGGCGGCACCGGGGGTGGCCGGTTGGCTGCGGAGCCATGGAGGAGGCGGGAGCCCGAGGGGCTGGGTGCCTCCGAGGTGCTGCTGCAGCCCGGGCGCCTGGAGCTGGGCGACATGGAGGAGGACCAGATGGTGGCCGTGTTCGTGGTCACCTTCGATCCCCGCTCGGGAAACATGGTGGAGTGGTGTTTACCTCAAGATATTGACCTCGAAGATGTTGCGTTCAAGTCGATGGCCAGTGGGTCCCATAAAATCCAGTCTGATTTTATCTATTTCCGGAAAGGGCCCTTCTTCGGCCTGGCCTGCTTCGCCAACATGCCTGTGGAGAGCGAGCTGGAGCTTGGCGCCCGCATGAAGTCAGTGGGCATCCTTTCTCCGTCCCACACCCCGCTTTACCGGTACATGCACTTCCTGGAGAACCAGGTTCGGCACCAGCTGGAGATGCCTGGACAGCACTCCCATCTGGCTGCCTTCTACAAGGACAAGAAAGGGGTGCTACGTGCTGGTCCGGGGAGAGGCGACAGCCTGCCCCCCCCCCCCCCCCCCCCTTCCATCCACCGGTACATGTACCCTGAGATGAAGANACACCCCGCTTTACCGGTACATGCACTTCCTGGAGAACCAGGTTCGGCACCAGCTGGAGATGCCTGGACAGCACTCCCATCTGGCTGCCTTCTACGAGGACAAGAAAGGGGTGCTGCGTGCTGGTCCGGGGAGAGGCGGCAGCCCCCCCCCCGTCTGCTGGCTGCCTTCCATCCACCGGTACATGTACCCTGAGATGAAGATCACACACCCAGCTGGCTGCATGTCTCAGTTCATTAAATTCTTTGGAGACCAGATCCTTGTCCTTTGGAAATTTGCTTTACTTCAGAAGCGCATTTTGATATTTTCTCCCCCCTCCTGTGGGTGTTGTGTGCTACAGAGTGCACTGCTGCTGCTGCCCGGCCAGTGTGTCCCTGCCCAGCATTGGGGGAGCCATTCCCGAGTCCAAGCCTTTCTTCTACGTGCACGTGGCTGACATCGAGAGCCTGGAGGTAGAGGTGTCCTATGTGGCCTGCACCACAGAGAAGATATTTGAGGAGAAGCGGGAACTGTATGACGAGTATGTGGACAACAAGAACGTGAAGACGCACCACGACCACCTGCAGCCCCTGCTGAAGATAAACAGCGCTGACCGGGAGAAGTACCGGCGGCTCAAGGAACAGAGGCAGATGCTGCAGTACTCCCAGGAAGTGGAGGGGGACTCCGACCCGTGTGAAGAGGACCTCTTTGTGCTGTTTATCCTGAAGCAAAACAACCGGATATTTCAGACTTTGTTGGAGGTGTCTGCCAGTCAAGACAAAACTCTGACAGCCGAGCACGCCAGGGTCATGTCATGGGTCTGGACCCCCAGGGAGACCGCAGCTTCCTGCTGGACCTGCTGGAGGCCTATGTCATCGATGTCATGTTGAGCATTGACAACCCCTGTTGTCCATAGGAAGAGTGAACCCGGACTGGTGAGCCGCTCCCATGGGGACTCACTCCAGGCCCCAGAGGACTCGTTTTTTATTCAGTAGGAAGGAATATTGTTTCTACTTCCCAACAAATGTAATTTTTGCAATCTCCTTTCTTCCCATGCTCCCTAGAGGTAAGAGGAGACTGCCATAGCTTTGTGTCCTGCTGTGGCAGGACGCCGGAGTCTACCACCTTCTCCCAGGGTGGCTGCCTGGTTTGCTCATCGGCATTCACAAAGTTGACTGTCTGGTGTCCTTGTTGAGTGACGTCAGGAGGTGTGGCGAAGGCCACAGTTCATTGGAAGCCACCCGAGTCCTGGAAACACTGGGTGGACCGTTCTGGCAATCTGTCTGGTCTGTGTCCCTTGATGTAGTCACAAGTGAGACAGCTGTCTGCCCAGTGTGGCCTTGGATGTCCACCTGCCCACAGGTGGAATCTAGACCAGGTGACCTTCCATTATTTTTATCAGCTCTGGGAGTCCAGTCTTGGGACCAGGTCTCCTTTTTCCTGTGTATTAGGACAAAGCTGCGTCTTCCCTGTTCACATGAGTTGAGACCCCAACGTGGGACAGAAGGATGTTTCTGACACCAAGTTTGAGCTTCTCTCAGGACAGGATGACAGGGAGAGGCTGCTTGTCAGCCAGCTGAACACTACAGTGTTAGAATGAAGCCTTGAATCATTCCACACAGTAAGTTAATGGGGGCCACTCCATGTAATATTCCTCTTTCTTGGAATCGCCACCTCTTGAGATGGGTTGACAAATTCCGAAGGACCAGTGCGCCGGCCCTGGAGCTTGCAAGCAAATTCATCTTCCCCTTTAGTCTCCTTTAAGGGCTAAGCGTCCTCTGGGAGTAATTTGGGTATTTTTAAAGAGTAGCGGGTGCGGCCACCGGAAGCGGACCAATTGAGGCGGAGGATAGAGAAGAGGTTTTTTCAGCTGGACAACAGTCCTCAGGAGGAGTTACCGGCAGAACCTCTGGATGGAAACGGGTCCACTGGATTCCATCATCGGACAGGGAGCTGAGCTGTTAACTCAGAGGCTGGAGCCTGCTAATAAGAACAGGTGCTGGCGTGGAGCCCTCACAGACGTCTCTTTAGCAGAGACGGCATTCCTTGAGCTAAAGAATTGGGGCTAGCAATGTAACAGATTTGTCAGAGCGCAAATCTGACAGTGCCGTCCCCTGGGAAAGTGGCCCGAGTGTCAGCAATGAGTTTATGTGCTTCCCTCCGATGGGGTTTGGTCTGGGACAGCTCCTGTCAGCCCCTGCCCGTTCTCTTCTGCCGGGTGTCAGCTTAGGTGAGACAGCGGCTGTTCACCCCAGGAAGCCAGCTCTGGGGGGGCAGAGCTCCGGGGCCATCATTTAGGATTTTGACTTGGGATACAAGGCTATTGGTGACAGATAATTTCTTCCCCTTCACCCAGTCCTCCCTGGCTCTGTTACTGAAATATCCATCAGTGTATCCATGTCTGTGACCGAGTGCCAGCCAGGCTAATGGACACAGCAGAGAGAAATAACTTCCTAATCAAATAGACATTGATTCATCACTGTACCGTCTTTTATGTAAATATATAAATAAGTTGGAGCATTGAAATGTAAACTGTACAACTAATAAATTTTTCTCCTCCGCAAAAAAAAACCCACAAAAAACAAAAAACCAAATTTGTGTCAAGAATATACCCATGAGTAGGAATAAATGGTGGTTTCAAAACTCATATCAGCACTTAATCTAGGCTGGCATATGTTCTAAAATCTCTCTGAGTAAAAAAAAAACAAAACAAACAAACAAACAAACAAACAATATATATATATATATATATATATATATATATATATATATATATATATATTCTGATTCTCTCATATATGGTCCCCCAAAATAGTCTTACACAGTACCTAATACATAGTAGGCACTGATAACTATTGAAGATTTTTAAAAAATGCTTGAAATCTAAAACTTACATACTTCATTCTCCAGGAATAATCCTTATGGTGGTTTCCAGGGACAGCTTTAGGTACAGAAGTTGAAAACCCTATATGTTCAATAAAGTACTCGGACACCTATGTAACACTGGATGAAAGACATTAGCAGGTTTTAAGAATTCCAAGTCTAATGAGAAAGACAGATGACTAAAAATTCATCATAATAAATGGCATGTGCAAATGGCCAGAAAACATACAATGTTCAACTTTGATATCCACCAGGAAAAAGAAAATTAAAACCACAGGAAATATCATTATGCATTCTAGAATAGCAAAAGTGAAAAAGGTGTGAGATATTGAATGTTGGCGACCATATGGAGCACCCTGAACTTCCATGCCCTGCTGGATGGCGTTGCAGGGGGTGGGGCATGAGGGGCTGAGGGAGGAAAGGGACTGCCACTGCAGGAAATCGCTTGTCAGGGTATAGGTAGTCCAGAAGTAAGAATAAGTTATGACCCAGCAATTACACTCTTAGGTATATATATCTAAGAGAAACACATATACATGTTCACCAAAAACTATGTTTTTAGAAAATTCCAACAGCCCTGGAAACGACCCATATCTTGATCCACCGTGCAGTATACAAATAAATTGTCATATAGTCACACAATGAACAATGATAATGAACAATCTACAACTACACACATTAAGAGAAATAAATTTAAAAACCATAGTGTTTAACCAGGCAAGTCAGCTGTGAAGAATGTATACTGTATGATTCCATTTATAGGAATTCCCAAAACACTAGGTTATGCTGTAAGAAGTCAGGATAGCAGTTATCTTTTGAGGGTTGGGCAGTTGAAAAGGGAGGAGAGGTGTTTGGGTGGTAATATTGTTTCTTCATTTGGGTGCTAGTTGTTCAGGTGACTATCAGTGTGTGAAAATTCATTACAGCAAGTCTCCGACTTACGAACCAGTTCCGTTCAGGTAAAATGTTCATTAGTCGGATTCGTTCGTAAGTCCGACAAAATGAGTCTTTGCGTTTCCTAGCAGTCCCCTCCTTTTTTCCTCTTGCTTCTGGACATCCTGGGCTTAAATTTCTTAAATATCTTAAATTTCTAAATTTTCTCATCCATAAAATGATATTTATGGAATGATATATACCCAATGCTAAAAATTCTGTGATTTCTAATTATAGAGCTTGAATCTAAAACATTTTTCTATGTGGGGGAAAGATCTCTATCACTGGAAATAGGAGCTAACTGAAATAGTAAAATTGGAGAAAAAAAGTGTAACATTATATAAAAATCCAAATATAAATATTTTTCAAAATATAGTAACCTTTAGAAACTGTCATAAAATATCTATAGATGATTTTTTTAATTAGTCACATAAGAAAATGCAATAATCAGAAGACTATTAAAATTTATGTGAGTTGCGATCAAAATTGGGTGATTTTGAATTCAAATCCTAAAAATGAAAAGTTGTGTAGAAGTTACTACAAATATAATAAAATAGAGTCTGCTATAAGAACTTGCATTAAAAAGTTGTGATCAAAATCAAAGCAAAATTGAGAACAAAACTTAAGGATGCCCAATGGGCATATCATACATTAGATTTCAAGAAATTAAACTGTGACAGTAGGGTACCCTGATGTGAAACTTGGAGAAAGTTTTTCCCAATGGTATTGTTGGCAAAGTGTGACCCTGATAGAGCCATTCCAATAATTACCAATTATAGGCAAGTCACTGATTAAGTCAATTTCTGATTAAGTCACACTTAGAGTAATATCTTTGTTATAAATGTCTGATAATATTGAAATCTGAGAGTTGAGAAGAAAAATTGTCATGTATTTTTTGTGGAGCAAGTACATAGCTAAATCTGAAATGAAAAAATGAAGGACTTAATTAAATCCATATTGAAAATGTTCTAGTTTTTAGAGATAATATTTTAATTATTATCATGCTTATTTGTGTATTTGTGTTTTTTGAGTTTTGAACATTTAGGGGAATGACATTTTAATTTAAAATACTGAAGAGAGTTTGATTAATTAGAATTTTAAATGTGTTAAATCAGTGTTGAAATTTTTTTATTATAGATTAAATGTTTGATCAATTGTGCATTAATTATTTTAAAAAACTAGTAAATTCTCATTCATGAATAGTAAAGGATATAAAAATACCATAATAATTAAATATCATAATTACCAATGCAACCAGCACAGGAACAATACTGCACACAAACTAGATGACTTCAGATGAATTACAATGATTATAAAAAACAAATAAAAAAGTACAATACTTATAAGAAAGGAAGTCATATTTAAGACATATTGAAGATTTCCATATAAATAAATGTGAAGGTGATAAAGGATATTTTTAACTACTTATTTGAACCATCTGTACAATTTTATTTCTAAGAATAAGTACAAGGTTTTTGATCAATTGTCAATGCATATAAACATTTAAATAATTACTCTTAATATACCCTTGTGAAATTAGTGACAAAATTGTTTGAGGAGATTGTATTCACAATTTCTGGGAAGAAATTTGGTGGAAAGAAGATATACTTCAACTGAATTTTTTTTCTAATTTTTTTAGTCTTTATCTTTAAGTAACAACTAAAAGTAAATTTCCCCAATATATAGTTTGTCAATTGATGTTTAAAATTGGTTAAAAGTTATTGAGGGTGATGATGATGATGATGATGATGATTTTGTATTGTTGCTAGTTTATGTTGTGGACTTCTCTGACTAAGTTTAAAGGCCCCTGTCTCTAAGATATTGAGCCATCGGGAAAGTCATGATGCATTTTTGCATTGAAAAACATAGAAAAATACATCATGACTTTCCTGATGACCCAATATATAGCCATAGTTTCTCAATTAGCTTTTGTTTAGCTGGAGGCAAGTAGCCGACCCTAAGCACAAGCAAGTATGTCATTTGTTTTCATCTTGAGGTTAACACATATCTTCCAACTCATGCATTCTCTCTTTTATTTTTTTATCTTGCCCCTCTTTTCTATTCTTTCCATGCTTCAGCATACATGGTTCCGTGTCCTTC